GTTGTTGCTAACTGGAGCTAGCAGAGATTAGTTAGCAATTAGGATGGCGGATAGAAATCTGGTGAAGGAGCTGAAACGCTGGGCGACAGAGGAATTTAATCTGGCTCGCGACAGCCTACCTAATGAAAACTATTTAAAAACGTAAGTTACGGTCTGAATGACAAAATATGAGACACGTTGTTGTTGCCAGTCTTCACGTAATCTATTCTTTCTAGGCTTTGTGTTGGGACTAGAAAGTCAATATGGACGTACGTGATCCAACATGTTTTCCACCAGAGGTCAGTCAGTTTTTCTTTTTGACGATTTCCTTTGATTCTTACAAGCCTCGACCATTATGACATACCGTAATGAATGCCTCTTGTTGCCTGTCTGCAACCTGTTCAAGACTTATGATGGCTTTTCTGTTTTTTAAGGAACGTGAGGATCATGCGAGGTAATCTCCAGTGGTATCCTTTCGTGGCTTTGACCTAGTGCGCTTACAGCAAGTTATTTGGGAAAACGAACACGTTTATATTTGTTTGGAGGCCCAAACAAATGAAAAGCTTTCATATCAAAGCTTCATACCTTTAATATGGATTATTTACAAAAACTCCGACCAAAGTGGAAATTTGAGAATATTTGTGTTTAGCAGGAAAATAATGCGCCCATATATCCACACATTTCCCAGTCGACATTGTTGTGTGTTTTATTAACTCTATATTGGATCACATGAACACATGTGTACATCTGTGCACACTAATGAACCTCCAACCAACGACTAACAGGAAGATTCTGATTGGCTGATAAAGGTTTTAGGTTTGGCAGTAGGAAATGTGTGGGCGTTCATGTGGATAAAAATCTTTGATAATTTGTTACCAATGACATTAAGACATAATATCTAAGCATAGTTTGGTATGACTTTTATGGTACAATAAGCTTTTGGGGAAAAAATATTCCAAATTATGCCATTTATTTACACAAAAATGTATAGAACACTGAATACAACAAGCTGACAGAGAACTCTTTGGCCTCATTTGCACATTAAAGTGTTGGAACTGTAGTGGATTGGTAAGGCTTTGACTTATTTTTTTTCTTTACTGTTGTGAAACTTCATGCAGTGTGGTGCACATTTACAGATTATGAACGGTGCCTTTCTCTTTGCAGTCCTGTAAATTTGTGTGTTAGTTACTGTGTTTGCTGGCAATTTCCTTCACCTTGCGATCATTAAAGGTACAAGACACTACAAGACAAAGAGGTAGGCTTTGCCTTCTCCTCCCAGTATGTCCAATTCATGACACCATGAATTTCAGCATGGTTTCTGGTGTATTATTTATTTGTTCAGTTGATGCAAGCTAAAGGCCAAAGTGAGGCAGCAAAGCGCAAAGAGCTTCAGATGAAGATAGAGCAGCTGAGGGATGAGATCAGTCACCTGGACTCCCAGATCAGAGGAACAGAGGAACAAATGACAACACAAGGTTTGTCCTTCCTACGGTGTATACACATCAAAGAGGAATCAATGTAAATTAAGAGCCTCTTGATCGCTGACATCTATCAGGTGTTGGCATAATAGCAAAGATTACGATAACCAAGTATAACTGTGGCTTTGATAACCTTCAAAATATTTCTCCTTAGATTGCAATATTATACACTTTAGTATTGGACAGATGTTTGCAGGTTCAAATGTGCTGCTACAGGTAAACACGTTTCATTGTATTTTCTTTTAAAGAGCAATATTGTGCTAAACAGTACTTCCACTGCTAATTGTAGAGCAATCTATAAATCGCATCTGGGTCCAAATCGAGGAGAACCAGACCCGGGAACTGCTTCTGAAGGCTTTCAGACAGCGCACCGTCTCCAACCGTAAGGTTCTCTCTGACGATGTGCAAAAGATCAACAACCACTGCCTGGTGCTGGAGCAGATGGCTAGGTTAGACAAAAATCCTTTTAAATAATAGACATGATTACAAATATTTTAGAATATTTGTAATTGTCATTATTGTAATGATGTTGTTGTCTTGCTGTATTGCAGGAAAGCTGAGACTGAAGTGCTGTTTGGCGATGAGCCCTCCAACCTCAACTCAAAGGCTGTGGCAGTACCTCAAGTTCTGGTATGAGCTGCAGAAATTTGGTTTTATATATATATATATATATATATATATATATATATGTATATATATATATATATATATATATATATATGTATAGATATATACATATATATATATATATTTTTTTTTTAAATTAAATATCCATTATCTGATACACTATTGCACTGACAAGTAAATAAAAAAAACAAAATAGAGAATTTCAAATTATTGGACAATTTAATGTGCAGATTTTAATCTCATTTTCTGTTTGAAGAAAATTTCCTTTTTTCTTTTTTGTTTGTCAGCATGAGCTGAGAGAGCTGAGTGAAGACAGAGTCCACTTCTTTCAATGCTTACAGGAGAGCGAAGTGAAAACGCAATATTCTGCACCCCAAAGGTAACAACTATTATCAGATCAGACGTTTTTTAAACTATAACTTTTCACATATTTACTGGATTGTTGTCCAGTTCTAGCATGCCTCGTGAGCAGAGGATGGCTGTGTTTCAGTACTGGCTCAGTGCTGCTGAGGTTGGTTCATTTAGGGTCTCCTGGGTTGTGCAAACTAAGTTGATATTTTTGAAATAAAAGCTCTTCTTCAAAATGATTTACCTTTTTGATAAAAATGTTGTCTGTTATTTCATCAGAAAGTGTTGAGCAGTTACCCTCCTAGCCATGTCCTCTCAGCACTGCAGCATCTAGCTGTGACAGACCAGAAGGCTCTGCAGGACCAACTAGCTTCTTTGGATGTGGCACAGGACGTAGCAGCTCTACGGTAAGAGAAACGTCACATTGTTTTAATGGGTTTCGTTCACATTGGCAGTATTTAGTGACATAGATATCGTCCCCATACAGATTCCGATTTGAAAGCGATCACCTTTTGGATATTTCCGCAGAGGAGTGTGATGAGCTACCGCCTGTTCAGTCTCTCCTAGAGGTGTAAAACCTTCACTGACATTTAGTTGTTGTTTTTGTGTGTGTGTGTGTGTGTGTGTGTGTGTGTGTGAGAGTTCTGCTCTGCTACATGTTGGATTTTATTCATACTCCTTGTTTCAGGCTGCTTGGGCTGAGGTGCAGCAGAGTTTCACAGAGCTGTCCAAGACTCGCTCCAGAATCCAGCAGCTCAAATCTCTGTTGACGTCTCGTAAGGCGGAGGTCGAGCAGGAAGTGTCTGGTATTGCAAATGAGAACCTCAGTGAAAGCTTAACGCTGTAAGCCCAACAATTGAATAGGAAAAAAACGTGTTCTTGTTTAATCAAGTTCCTGCTCAGAGTAATTTGGTGCCAAATAATCTGTGAATTTTGATTGTTTTAATTTACCGTGCTTAGTTCAAATTGCATCTAAATTGTTTATAGGTCAACACTGGAGGTGGAGCTGCAGTGTGTGATGCGGGCAGCTGCTCGGGATCACATCAGAGAGCGCTGTATTCAGCTTGACCAGCATGCCAGAAACCGTCAGGAGGCATTAAGGAATCTTCGCAGCCAGTGGCAGAGCATTCTGGACTTCAGAGAACTAGTGGTGAGAAGGAATACTACAAGCACAGCATTTTTATTATCAGTTACTAGGACTGGGCAAAATGGCTTAAAAATAAAATCAAACTGTTTTGTATGAAACAAAATCTGGCTTTCAGAAGAAATTACAAATGGCAGGGAGTATTTTCTTAAACCTGTTTTTATTTCCATCATCCCTTCTAGGAGTCAATCTGACTTCAATGTGCAAATAAATAAAAGATGTTAAAACATGCTTGTTAAACAAGATATAACAGGCCCTGGTGGGCCAACATCAATATGAAATACGGAAACTCCAGAGTGTATTGGTGGGGGAAAAAAATCCAGATTAAATCTTCATAAATATAAAATTTAAAGACTCTGTAAAATCGTTTTTTCCCCAGGTTTATTTGTTTCATTTTTCAAGATGCCATAAACATCTGGTGTCTATTGTTTCTCTGCAGGCTCTAAGACAGGAGCAGTTAAGAGGTCTGATTAAGGGGAACTCGTCAGCTAAAACGCAGCTGATCAGTGTTCACAGAGAGGTCTGAATCTAATAATGCTTTTGTCTATTTTTCTTTACAAAATACTGTAAATGACTGAACTACTCTTGGAACATTTCTCTTTTTATATTGATGTATCTTGTTTTCCATGACTATGCTTTCTTTTTTCCTTCAGTTGCAGGAATTTATCGAGGCAAAGCTTGTGCCACAGTTTGAAGACGTAATTGGCGTAGCCAACAAACTTCGAAACACTGTTTCCAAGGAGGCCAAACAGTTTGGAACAGTTTCACTTCCTGCTCTGGACCACAGGACCATGGATGGGTAAAAACACATTTGGTGATATCTATAGAATACAGACCTGAAGCTATTTTGAAAGTATCTAAGAATATTTACTTGAAATGGGAAGCTGAGTTTGTTGAGTTTGATTGTGTTTGAGATAAATTGTCGTTACACAGAAGAGGGAACAAAAATACACCAAAAAACTTTCTCTTAAAAAATGGTACATTTGTCAATTTAGCAATGCACAACTAAAAGTACTACAATGTCTTACAAAGTATGTTGTACTTATTCAAAAGTATTCATGAGTTTGAAAGATTTTATTTATTTTTTTTGTACGTTTATCTTGCACTGTAGTTACACCTGCAAATTGGTTGGGTTATGTCTCCACAGTCTCTGCACGTCTAGATATTGAAATTCTTGTGCATTTTTCTTGGCAATAACTCAAAGTCAGATTAGACAAAGCCCATCTATCAACAGAGTTTTTAAAGTCTTGCTCAGATTCTTAATAGGACTTATGTTGGAACTTTGTCTTGGCCAAGCACTTGTATATATTTTCTAACAAACATGTGGGACTTCACAGAACAGCTGTATTAAGATCATTAACCTGCATACAGATGAACTCAGTCAACGTAAAAGGCTGTTCCTGATGGGAGTTGTTCTCATTGGATTTTATTTAGGGGTTTCAGTAAAGCTGATTAGGTACATATACATGCTACGCTTTTCAATGAATACTCAAGGTGAGGCACCGTACATGATAAAAGTATTGGGATGAAGTTCACTTTTTTTTTTTCCTTCTCGTTTCAGAGAGCACAGAGTTCCTGCGTCGTGGTTGTCCATTCACCGCCTGCAGGCCTCAAACTTCAACAGCCTGCGTGAGAGCCTGAACTTCCCCCTGTATAAAGTGAGTATTGGGAGGTTAAATGGTTTAGCCTTTTCATCAATTTTTATTTGACAGACTCATGGTCAATATAGATGTAAAAAAAATAAAAATAACAGACACCTTCTGTTGGAAAATGGGTAAAACAAATTATATATCTTTAGTATCTTGGACACTGTAATCTGTGTTATGGGGTGACATCGAAGGCAATAAGCTGAATATGTTGAGGTCATGCATCAAGGTATGGTTGTAATACCTGGTATAAAATATCCAAAGATTATTGCCTTCTTAATAGTCCTTCAGTGAAGTTATATTCTGCATCCCTGAGTTAATTATTTTTCAGGGAACAAGTTAATTTTTAAGATTTCAGCATTATGGGTTGCTAATTATCCCTATAAATAATCAAAATACTACTAGGAGTAATAAACTAATATGTCATTGTTAAGGAACAGAATTTGTGACAAAATGGCATCAATAGAGTACAAAATGGGTTAAAAAAATTGACAAACAGCAACACAATAAAATCTATTTTTAACATCTTCGGTAACAAACTGTTGGCTCCTCCTTAAATATTCTCAGATTAATTTTTTCAGAGGCTAAGGTTTCATTAAAGACTTCTAATTTGTTTCCTCACATTTTTGTGATTGAATGCGATTTAGATGTTTACTATGTTTTGTTTTTCCCATGCCTATGCTTCAGGCTCCAGAGGAGTTGTGTTTCCAGTTGCTGTCCCAGCAGCTTGAGCTGCGTTTTCTCCGGGAGTTGCTGCAGCTTCACTCGGCCACGCTGCAGAAAGTAGAGAAGGACTCTGAACAACTGTATGCATCTGATCAAAAAGGTATGAGAGGAAATTGAAAACAGACAGCTGTTCTTAGATATATATATATATATATATATATATATATATATATATATATATATATATATAATATATATATATATATATATATATATATATTTTATAAAAGCTGGATGTAACAGGAAATTTTATGTTTAGCTGTGAAAAACTTACAATATGTTTGATAAAAGGGTTTTTGTTTTTCTCTTTTTAAATCCCAGCTTTGCTGTCCAAAGTCAGCGAGTTGGATCAAAAGCTTCTAAAGTCTTTGCTGCCAAGAGTCAGAGGTCTCACCAACCGCTGCGCTCAGGGTCTTTCTTATGGAGCTCAAGTCAAGACCGCCATCTCTTACTGGTGAGGAATACTTAGGGACTACATAGCTGACTTTGAACTTCTTTTTTTAATAAATACTCATAATAATAATAACCATTTTTAACTTTGCTTTCAAAAATGTCTTTGTTCTTCCTCCATTAGATAGCTTTGCAGTGTATTTGTTACCTAAATCACATATATGGTAAAATCAAAGCCATAGGGTGTCAATCAAGCAGCATTTCACTAATAATACTTTATATTTTCCCCCACTAACATCATCATAACCACTTTCAGATTGTAGCTGTATAGTCCAATAAATTCAATACACCCTTAAGTATTCAGTTATAAAACTCAAGTGTTTACACTAGCTTGTTTTGACTTTCACAACTTTATTTTCTATTCATGCCACTTATTCTTTCTCTATGCATATTGCATATCCTTTCAATATGCATAGTTTCCATGCACTTTGCTGTGGCTCAGTTCCTTTCTTTTCATAATCAGACAGTTGAAATTTGACTGAATGTCATAATCTAAAAACTTTATATCATTCAGTCCATTTAGGATTTACATGTTGAACATTGTAAGTAGAGCGTAACAAACAACAATTTGCAGAAATTTTTATTTTGCACTTGAAAGTCAGACCTGAGACACAAGTCTACAAATGTATAACCAGCCAATCCAGAACAATAGGCTTTCCCTGTTGTACAAACACATTTTAATGCTTCATCATTTTTATTTCTGATCTACTGGATGATTTATTGAATGTTTTAGTAAGGTGACATTAGTATTATCTATATCTTACAATGTGCTTTTTCTATTGAATTGGTTTTACTTTCCCTTTGCAGCTCATTGTACATAACCATAATAATCTGTTTTGGTATTTTCAAACATGTAGGTGGGACCAACCAGCCCAGCATGTTCTGCCTGAGCTCAGAAAAGGAGGACTGACTTTCCAACAGTGGCTTCAGAGATGGAAACTTAAAGCAAAAGCTTCATAGTTTATACCCCAAGGGTTTAGAACACCACCGACCCTTTAGTCACCGTTCATTACATTGTTAGTTAGAAAGCTCTGAAATGTAATAAAATTCTTGTTTGTTTTTCCTTTGTATTTTACAGATGTCTTGTGACTCTTAACACTTGGCATGTTTAAATCAGACATTAAAATACGCATTTTGAATACATGTGTCTTCGTTTTTAAATGATCCAGTCCAGTTTGTGTAGGAATGCCCTCGCTGCTGAGCTCAAACAGGCTGAAGATCGACACATTTTGATCTTGTGCTGTTTGAATTCGCATTAATTGCATTCACGTACTCTAGTATTGGTGTACCTCGCACGCAGAGCTTCGTTCTTGCAGTTTTATCCCAGTGCGAGTGAGTATGTGGCTGTTATTTTACACGGAGCAACATTGTTCTTTTGTAGCAGTGAAGGGGGAGTGGAGCAATCTGATTCTTGTGAACTCGGCTCCTCCCCTCGCTGCGGCTGCGCACTTCAATTTTTCACCCCGGTTTTTTTTTCTTTTTTTTTTTTTATTTTTCACTCCTACTCTGGCTTCCGGACGCCAAGATAGACCGCTGCCGCCGAATTTAAAGAGACAGGCCATAGTTATTTTAAATACGTAAAACGACAACCATTGTCTCCGAGCTTACCGACCCTTCGTGCTTTCGTTTGCTTAAATCGGCCGTGATGTTCAGTCAAAGTCGCAGCGAGTAGTGGCTTGTCTGTCATCACTCTCCACTCCGCTGGGTTTCCCGTCTTTTTTGCCTGCTTTTCCCTCTCTCTCTCTCTCTGCTCGTCGAGACTGTCCAGCTAGGCAAAGTAGGGTTTGCTCGCTGGCAGGCTGGCTTCCCGACCGAGAAGACGGTTTGTCGCCTAGCCAACAACTGGAGGTAACGCCGAAGCTTCCCTCTCAAGTTGTGGTAGCGGCTCTCGAGCCTCCCTACGCCGGGGATATAATGGCGAAGATTCAGGCGCACAGCACCGCCAAGCAAATAAACCAAATTCAAGACAAGCCTTACGTGATAACACAAAAGCAAGTGCAGCAGCAGCACTTCCAGAAGCTCAAGGTAAGAGGACAACGGGCAAGATGAGAGAAAAGTGTCCGTGTCTCAACCATTTTGTTGCTCTGGGCTCACCGTCGAGAGTAGTGAAAGGAACGGTTGGCTAACGGTAGTTAGCTTACTGGGCTAATAATAAAAGTAATTCATCGCTGACCAGCACACGACTGACATGTAGGTTTATACGTGGAAGCTGTTTCTCTTCAACAAACGCGTAACTCGCACTCAGGGGACTCAGTTTGTTTTACTTTTTTATTTATTTTTCAGTATTTACGCCATCAGCGGCAGCTGCTGCGAGCAAACATTTAGTCTGAGCTCGGTTGTGGGAAGTTCCTTCTTGTTGGATTTTTTTTTTCTTTTCAGCCAGCTCGAACAAAGTGGAGGACGTAAGCCAGGCCAGCCAAGAAAAGGCTACTTCGGTTGATTAGCAGCTTCGTTTTCACATGTCTTTGTGGCTGCGGTGTTTTATTAAATCGGTTTGTTCCTGCCGACACAATACAGTTGGCCAGGAACCAGCGGGGACTGAACGTATTGTGTAAATGTGTATGCGGGTGGGTGTAGTTAGTGTTAGGGGACTTATTATGGCTAACATTAGCCGCAATAACCCTCTTTAGACTGTTGGTTACAAAGCTTCGCTTTTTATTTCGAGGCGGTTTACGTTTATCAACGTTTAATCAATGATTTAAAAAATCTGGCTATTTATTTAACATATTCATTAGGTTGGTTTGCAGCTTTCTAACATACCAACTATGCACAAGGTTATTCTGAGTGCTTTGCAAAAAAAAAAATCAAGATTTTATTGCTGCTCGAGTTAAGCTATTACATATGAGAAATAAAACAAGAGAAATGCATATTTAAAACAAAAGCCTTAGTACTGTAAATGTCTTAGAAAGACATTTACAGTAAAATTACAGTATTTTTAGCCTTGATTTTACTTGGATTAAGTAAATGCATGGTCATGTGAGTGATTAGTTCACAAAATCTATTGTAACAAACTACAGCTGCATGTGTCATATATCAATAAACAGGTATGATAACAGAAATCGATACTCATTTTAAGTACAAACACAAAAAGAAAAAAACAAATGTCATATCAGATGATTGAGGTATTTTATTCCAAAAGCAAATGCAGGAATTAGAAGCTTGTCTTGATTTTTTCATTAAACCATCTCTAACCATTTTCTGATATCTAAAAAGAATTTTAAAAGTAATGTGTTTTGAAAATGCTGGGAGTAAAGTTTTAAAGATTTCATTCAGTTGGAAATAGCTGTTTTTGTTTGTTTTTTTTCCCCAGTATTTGTATTGTTGGTCATGAAAATAAATAAATGCCTCTAAATTGTCAATGAAAGAGGTTTCTTTTATCCATTAAAGTATTTAGAAAAGATTCATAGAGTAATAATGTTGGTGGTTGGGTTATTGTATTCAATTATTATAACATGAGTAAATGAATTAACATCAGTAAATAATGGTTGAGAAAATGCACAAAAGGTGAAAATGAACAAAACAAAAAAATCAGATGGATATTAGAGATTTGTGTTTAAGATCTTTTGCTTGTATGAAAAAATGGTCTTGATCTTTTTAGTCCTTTATTTGATGTTGAACTCTCAAACGACTTGCAATACATTCTTCTCTTGTTGCATTTCTTAGAGAAAAACAATCATAATTGGTCAAAATAAGTGTTGGTACACAAGAAACAAACAAATAAACAAATCTTTATAAGCCAGAAAAGGCTTGATTGGCACATCCGTGGTGGAGTCCATGGATCCTGGATGTCTCAGATTTACAGTGAGGTGGTTTCAGAGGTGAGGAAAACGTAAACTGTAAATACTGTCTCCCTTTGTTAGTTTTACACTTGGGAATGCTGTGTAAACGCGTCCTGGATGACCTGAGAGATCTCAAAGGGGTATATCTGATGATATCAATCCTTAAAGTGCTGTGCTCAGTGGGCTCTATTTTCTTTGTGTTGATCAGGATTCTAGCAAAACGATTTTAGATCAGCAGCAGTGAACACATCTAAAGAAACTGGCTTTATTTCAACTCACTGGAATGAAAGCATTCTCACAATCTTTTATGGTTGTTGTTGGTTCATTTAATAAAATATTAGGTTTTTGAAACTTAATCTGAAAAACATTTGTAACATTTTTTTTTGTTCTCTGGCAATTGTCTACAACATCGGCAACATTTACTTCACCATTAGCACACATTTATATGTTGTGACTATAATTTACACATCTTGTTTGAGACTAATTGTGTTTTTCCTCCTTCTGTCTGTTTCTTCTGTATTTAGGTTGAAGATGCCTTGTCATATCTGGACCAAGTCAAAATTCGCTTTGCGAACGACCCTGGCATATATAACAAGTTTTTGGACATCATGAAAGAATTCAAGTCACAGAGGTATCACTGATGATGCACCCAAACAGACTAACCTTGTGTATTTTAAACTTTAAATGTCATGTAGTTGACTAGTTCTTGTTTGTCTCCAGTGCTTTATGTCCAAGCAGGACTAAGCTGACTAGTTAGGGTTTTTAGTTAACCTCAGCTTCTGGGGATATTGTTATTGTCACCAACTAAAAACATTGGAAATCATTCGTACAACAAAATAAATCTACAGTATGGACTCCAAATCTAATCTACACTGGAAAATTAGCTTCTTCCTTGCCTCACTAGTTTTTCTGTCCATTCTTTGATATTGTCTTTTTGTGAAGGCTTCTTTATATGAAGCATTTATTATTTCTCACAACAGCTGTTTGCAACAGTCTTTTCAGATGACGTCTAATCCTTAAATCATACCATCTGCTTTTATAAACAACTCAGTGTGGCAAATAATACCCAGTCTTTTTTAAGACAGCATGCATGTTAATCAAAAATAATTAATGAGATACGACTGTCAGCTTTCACAACTTCTAGGATCTTTCCATATGACAAAAGTTTAAAATGAGCTTAAAGGAACCTTAAGTGAAATCAAAAACTAAACAGTTTTTCAGGTAAAACACTAATGTCTGGCTTACATGGCAAGATTTTAAGAGACCCCACAAATGACAAAAGGTCTTGGGTATAACAGATTTGGTTGCAAAGTGGGAGGTGTTGATCCACATGGCAGGAGCAACACACCACACATGAACCAGAATTCACTCACCAACATTCAGATTTCAGATGGAAAATTTCGCAAAATGTCTCAAGACCAAATGTGAGTTCAGAGAAAACAAAAATAGAAGAACCAATTAATAAACTAAAAAGACATTCCTGAAGTCTACTGGACTTTCTAGAGTGCCATGGCAGAGTTTTACTCTTCTGTACTCCAGCTTCCCCTTCACATTTTCATTTCCTTAGTCTCTGATTGGCTCCTTGTCACACCCCAAATGGGCCAAGACAATCCAACATGTTGAATATTCCCGATTTTTAGATCGGAGCAGTCCTGATGTCTTTCAGAGCAGACCAGATCACTCTTAAACACCTCACACTGCAGGAATATCTTGAGGTCATCTTATGAGTCACTACAATCCTTAAAATTGCTGGATGTGGAAAATCAGGACATGAATTGGCGATAAAATCTTGCCGCGTGAACTAGACACAAATCAGAATGTTTCATACCGACTCTTTGCGTCTGTAACTTTCTATCAACTGATCTTGACTAAAGACCATCAGTAAATGCTTTGGCACTTATGTACTTCCTGTTATGATCTTAAACATTGTTACCAGCTGCAACCTAATAATATTTACACATTCTAATTTACATACAAGTTGCTTGCCTGGCCAGCCTTCAGTAAATAATGGAACATAAAGAAACATTATTAAAATCAAGCAGCTTAAATAGGAGGAAATGCATGTGCTGTTTTCTAGACGTGAGTGCTGGTGGGGGTCATATTCAGTCATCGTATCAAAGATGAATCTTCAATCACTTCAGTTTTCTCTAGCAGTATCTTGTAATATTGTACCATAAGCAGTGACTGCGAGAACTCTGCTTTACTGACAGCTTTAACGGTCCCCAAATGTTGCATAAAATCCAAAATCTGTAGTTGTGAGGAACGCTCATGTAAAATTACTGCAGAGCTGTTAGATGATTGCTTTCTTTGCTTAGTTACTTTGCTTGAATGTTAACACCCAAGAATTATCTGTTTGCTTTAGACATAATCAATGTTTTTTTTAGAAAAAACCCATTGATTATGTGATTAATCAATGGTTTTGATTATGTGATTGATTAAAATGAACTGTACCAGTTCATTTTAAAATAGATAATTTATCTTGACTATTTTAAACTAAACTATGCCTTTTAGAACTCATTTGTTTTCATGTTTAGGAGAAGTTGATTATTATTGCCAGCTACATTATTATGTTTGTCTTATTTCTTAAATAGCATCGACACACCGGGGGTTATAAACCGAGTGTCGCAACTATTTCATGGGCACCCAGACCTCGTTTTGGGCTTTAATGCCTTCCTGCCGCCAGGCTACCGGATAGAGATCCCCAAGAATGGGATGGCTTTCCTTCAGTCGCCATTCACTACACAGGTAAGACATCCTTTATCTCCTAAAACCCCAAAGCTACTCGAAGATATTATATGGTTGTAGTTTTGACTCTGTACTTCTCTGTTAAAAGTTCCTTAGTGTTTAAGTCCAGAGAACTTTTACATTTCTGGAAGGATTTGGGTGGGCTTAAGTAGAACTTA